GAGTTACACAGACAGTTGTGAGCTGCCACGTGGGTGTTGGGAATTGAACCTGGGTCTTTTTGGAAAAGCAAACGGTGTTCTTAACCACTGAGCCATCTCTCCAGCTACATGGTGATGATAATCATGGAAAAGTTAGAAAACTATTACTATAGATGGCTAATGATTTGTGTGAACTAAAAGAAGAAATCTGCATTGAAAATTCAAAAAAAACTTCAATCCCTAGTCACTTTTATATAATGTTTTGAAATTGTAATTACATAATATATCACATGTCCCCTTCTTTTTCCTTTCTTTATCCCCTCCCATGCTCTTCTCTCTTTTTTTCTCTCAGATTCTTGGCCTCTTTTTCCACTCTCTCTTTCTTTCTCTCTCTCTCTTTCTTTCTCTCTCTCTCTTTCTCTCTCTCTCTCTCTCTCTCTCTCTCTCTCTCTCTCTCTCTCTCTCTCTCTCTCTCTCTCTCCCCCCTCACATTCCTAAATACAACCTAATCTGCCTGTATAATTTTACCTGTATTTATTTGACCTCCCTAGCCATTTTTGCTAGTTATTTATTAGTCCTAAATTATCTATAGTTTATATTAGACTTGTAAATCGTATTTACTTATTTTATTGCTTGAGTCATGCTGTTGTGTATCCAGGGCTGGCCTTAAAATGACAGTGTAGCCAGGGATGATCTGGAACTCCATTCCTTATTTTCTTCTTAGTAATAATGCCAAGACTTTTGTTTTTGAAGGTTTTCTTTTTTTTAATTTATTTATTTAAGCCTGGCGTTGGTGGCACAGGCCTTTAATCCCAATATTCGGGAGGGGGAGGCAAAGGCAGGCAGATCTCTGTGAGTTTGAGACCAGTTTGGTCTACAGAGTGAGTTCTAGGACAGGCTCCAAAGCCACAGAGAAACCCTGTCTCAAAAAACAAAACAAAACCAAAACCTAAAAACCATTTATTTGTTTGTTTTGTATACAGTATTCTGTCTGCATGTCTTCCTGCAGGCCAGAAGAGGGCACCAGATTTCATTATGGATGGTTGTGAGACACTATATTGTTGCTGGGAATTGAGCTCAAGACCTCTGGAAGAGCAGCCAGTGCTCTTCTGAGCTGTCTCTCCAGCCCCATGTCAAGACTGAAACAGACTGAAATATATAATTAAACGTTGAGCACTTGTTACTTTGTAGATATTGGCAGCTATCAGATTGAACTATTGCTAGACTATATCAAACTTGATTAGTGAGTCAGGCATGAGTAGCTCATGCCTATAGTCTCAGATCCTTTTAAAGCTGCTGTAGGAAAACTGCTTAAGCCTGGAGTGGTGTGATGACCAGCCTAGGGAACAGGGAGACGCCATGTCCCTTCTCTCCCCCTAACTTGAGTTGTGGTTGTTCATAATCTGGGTAGGTTTTCATCACTCTGATATCTTTCAGTTTGGATTTTAATAGATACTACATTCATGGTACTCAAGTTAACCAGATTGGTCTGGTTAAATTTTTAGACTGGATGTGGAATAGGTATATATACTTCTAAAATTATCCTGCATATAGTTACATCTTAGTTCTTACCTATTTTTGAAAATGAGCTACAGTAATGAGGTGATTAAGAATGTAGAGACACTTAAGGATAGCTTCTCATGCAGCCTTAGGATTCTAAATCCTAGGGTTGTTCCTCTACTTCCGTCTGAAATTCAATTTTTCTTGGTTGGGTTTGTGCAGCAAGGATAGTTTTCGGTTAACTTTTTTTTTTTTTTTTTGGTTTTACCAGACAGGGTTTCTCTGTATTGTTTTGGAGGCTGTCGGTCCAACCCGGCCTCGAACTCACAGAGATCCACCTGCCTCTGCCTCTCGAGTGCTGGGATTAAAGGTGTGCGCCACCATCGCCTGACTCAGTTAACTTTTAACAGTGTGATTGTATAACTAATTTTGGCCTGAGGCCAAGTAAATTGTAGTTTGAAATCACTTTGTGGTCTGGTTATCTCATTCCTAGGTTTTTAGTTTTCAGTACCTGCTCACCTGAATTAAAACAACAGAAATGCCTGTTTTTCTCCTGGCTTACACAGGGTATTAAACAGGATGGGAAACAGTATGTGCTCAAAGTTAGCTTTGGTTACTCTTCCCCTAGTGGGCAGAGACCAGAGTGACAGAGATTATACTAAAACTCTCTGTGAAAATGGAAAAGACTGGTGATGGTAATGCCTTGACATCAAGACATTGTTGTAAAAATGTTTTGTTTTATTTCAGGAATTCGTCTCTGGCTTGTCAAGCTTCTTTCCCCTGCTTAGATTAACAAGCTTCTAAAGTGCCCAGGCCCTAAGGGCTGCTTAATATGTGCAAGTAGTTATCCTGTGTCTGGTTGCTTCAAGTTGACACTGACTGCATTTGCCTTGCATGGAATATGTTTAAAAGCCCAATTGAGATTGATTGATTTTGTTTGGGGTTGGTCTCTTAAGAGTCTCACAACATAGCACAGGATGGCCCGCTGCCCTCTTAGCTGTGCGGTGGCTGTCAACCCACCATCCTATTCCGCCTCAGCCTCCTGAGTATCGGAATTACAGATGTAAGCTACTACACCCAACAGGGGACTTGATTTGATTTCTGTTTTGGCTTGATTTTGCCTTCTGCTCTGCTCTGCTCTGCTTGTAGACTGTCTGCTGCTTTTGCCCTAGGTGCCATCCCTTGCCACTCCCCCCATGTCTTATGTCTGGATTTCCTTTTCATACATGCACAGTTCCTGACTCATGAACATTGGTAACAATTTCTCTCTAAGGAGAATACCGCTTTCCTCTTGCTCAGTGAATGACTAGTCAGTGTGTCATGATGACCTTTGCATTTGGCTATCTGTGTTTCTAATGGTTATGTTAAAAACTTGACTTTTTCTGGCATAGTAACTATTCTCATAGACTTCCTTTTTTTTTATTTTTTGAGACAGGGTTTCTCTGTATTATTTTAGAGACTGTCATGGAACTCGCTCTGTAGACGAGGCTGGCCTGGAACTCACAGAGATCCTCCTGCCTCTGTCTCCTGAGTGCTGGGATTAAAGGTGTGTGCCACCAACGCCCAGCTTTCATAGATTTCTTAATTAAGAGACCTTATTTGGTGGGGAAATACACTTTAAAAAGAATTGTGTTCAGGGAGTAAATTCTCAAGGTACTGCCTGTGTTCGCAGTGAAAACACTGCTGATCGAATGGCTTCTGTGACGTTTGTAAATGCTTGTTATAGTCTGCAGATAAATATGTTGAAGTAGGCGTTGCTTCACGCTTGTAAAGTTACACTAAAAAGCAGTTGTGAGTAGACTCAAAGTGTAGAATCAAGACTGTCCAAAGCAGGGGTTTGTAGGGCAAGAGCAGTGAGGTGGGCTCAGTAAGTCATTTCTTAGAACAGAGGTAAAGAATGAACCCGCTGCCAGTACGTGGGACAAGTACAGGATTTCCCTCATTGCGCTTCCGTTTCTCTTGGTGGGCGGCCATCTTAAAGTTTGCAAGTACTTGTTACGTTTACCTCAGCTAGCAGACTGAGCCTGCTTGTTTCTTAATAAGTCAGATTTGTGGATAGACATTTAAAAGCCTTAGCTGGTTTGAATTTCATAATACATACTCTGTATTAAATGTGGGCATACCTCACCCTAGCCATCTAGCCAAACTGATTTCATTGACTTTTCTTTTTCATTTAAGGACCCTTCTTCTCCCTCTCCCCCCAGAGCAACAATTGTTTCATCAGTTTCTGTCATAATTTAAAGTTTGGTTTCTCCTTCTTGATATTTTGTTGTAGCTGGTATTTTGCAAGGCTTGAGAGATGCTCTAAGTATGGACTGAGAACTGTTGGGTGTATGTGGGTATTCATAGATTGGTATCTTTGAGTTTATTTTGAAGGTTGTTGCTGTTTGTTTGAGAGAAGGTTTTACTGTTTTCCCAAGACTGACCTTGAATCTCTAGGTTCAAGTAAAATCCAGAAGTTGGTCCTGCAGTGGTGCCCTGCAACACCCAACTTTAATTTTAAACCAGATCTTCATGCAGGTGATGCTAGTGAGGTCACTAATTAGAAATGGCTGCTAAACTACAGAATTAATACGGTACCTTGTAAAGTTCACTTGAAGATTGGTGAGCTAATTTAATTTGAATTTCATATAAAATCAAGTAATTTTTCTTGGCACTGTAGCTTGGAGTAGAACACATGTGTATCACTTACAAGGTCCTGAGTTCTTTGCCTAGCATTGCAAAATAAAGATGAACACATATGTACTTGTTCTATCTGCTGCCTTTGAATTGTGTTGGAATATGCTTAATGGTATTTCAAGATAATGTGGCTGTATTCCTTTCCCTGGTTGGATGCTTGGGTGGTTTACTTGAAGTGTTAGGCAAAGGAAGGGCCTTTACAATTGTGCCCAGGTAAGGTAGAGAGAAACAACTTTAGTGAATAAAAGGTAAAGTGAGAGACAGCAGCCTAAGACTCAGCTTGATTTGTTCTTTTTCATCTAAGCAGGCTTTTGTTTTTGTTTCATTTTTGTTATAGTTTCAAAGTTAAATACTTTTGGAATTTTAGTGCACTTGGGTTTTTGTTTTGTTGTATTTGTTTTATGAAATATGCTTTCAGTATGTAACTGTGGCTAGTCTGGAACTTTGAAGTGCAAATTGGTCTCATATTCACTGAGGGAGATCCACCTGCCTCTGCCTCCCAAGTGCTAGAATTAAAGGACTGAGAAATGAATATTCAGTGAGCAATGAGTAGAATTTGAAAAAAACAAAAACATTCTAATGAAAATAGTTTAGCATTCACTAGTTAAAAAAATACAAATTTAGAAAATTTCAGCTAATTTAGGAAAACAGTCTAGGGTTTCCTACTACTGCACGGCTATTTATATAGTGAGGTTATTACTAAATTGTTTGGATGAGTAAGTATTTGCTACTGAAATTTGTTTTATTTTGTCTTAAAAAGCAGTACTTGTTAAATGTAGAGAATGTTTTAGTTTTCAATAGTAGAGAATATTGAGCGTTAATGGAATTTTATTTCTTCTTAGGTCATGTTTACTGGTGAAAATATTCCCGTCCATCCTCATGTGTATAGCAATGGTCATATCTGTTTATCCATTCTAACAGAAGACTGGTCCCCAGCGCTCTCAGTCCAGTCAGTTTGTCTTAGCATTATTAGCATGCTTTCCAGCTGCAAAGAAAAGGTAGGACTTTACAATTACTCCAGTAATGTCTCCTCTTTCAGCATAGGTAGGTTAACAGTTTGAGTATACAATTATTTGTTTTTGAAGGAGTACTAATGTTTTTTGTTTTTAAGTTACGGTGAATGACATTTTTAGTAACAAATTAGAAAGTAACTTTGTTATCTTTCATTCTAAATGACTAGAAGACAAATTCAGTGTTTTATACATACTTCTAAATTACAGTTTATTGAGTATACAACATGCTAGCAGAGTGGGTAATAACTAGACCATAGCTGTCATTTGATCATTTTTAAACAGGGCATTTGTGCACGTGTTCTTAATCTGAATTTTATTTCCATGACTGTCACAGAGTAAAAGTAAACAGCACGTTGCTATTTTTAGATTTCACAGTGGCAAAGTGGGAAATGAACATCCCCTGGCTCTTTAGCCCCCTTTGCCAGCTCCCATCCAAGGCAGCATTTCTCAGCGTTTCCCAGAACCCAGAGCTTTCCTGTCTCTGGTTAAATTGATGGAACAGTGCCACTTACCAGTAGAAGTTTTGGAACCTTCCCTCTTGCTCTCCTTTAGATTTACACATGGATTCTGTCTATAATGGAATTTGTTTTCCAGATTAAATCCACCGAATGTTTTATTAGAATTTAGAGACTCCTTAGGATAATAGCTCATTTTTAAACAGTAGGTTGTTTAAACCCGGGAGCACCCAGTCACTGTTTTCGCTGAGTAAGTTTCTTGAATGTTAATTCAAAAGAGGTTTTTTGGGGTGTGTGCATCAAGACGGTTGGTTCAGCAGTTAAGCATGCTCATTGTGTAAGCCTGATAGTTGATTTCCGGAGCCTACACTAGAAAACCAGAACAGAGAAAGTGTGTCCATGATCCCCACTTGCAGCGTGGCACACACATGCCCACAAACACACATAATAAGAATTTTTTTTTCAAGACAGGGTTTCTCTGTGTAGCTTTGGAGCCTGTCCTGGAACTCACTCTGTAGACGAGGTTGACCTTGAACTCACCATAGAGATCCACCTGTCTCTGCCTCCTGAGTGCTGGGATTAAAAGCATGCGCCACCACTGCCTTGCTCTAGTAAGATATTTCTAAAAGAATTTTCCTGGTGTTCTTTTTCAAAAATTAGGCTTTTTGGTTTTGGGTTTTTTTGTGGTGGTTGTTGTTTAAATAAGTACAGGATTTTAGAAAACATATAATACATTTTTAAAAATTATTTTATTATTTTTTATATGTATGTATGTGTGTTTTACCTGCATGTATGTCTGAACACCATGAGTGTGCTTGGTACCCTTGGAGGCCAGAAAGTGCATTGAATTCCGTGAAACAGGAGTTACAGATGATTGTGAGACACTATGTGGGTGCTGGGAATTGAACAAGGGTCCTCTGGAAGAGCAGCCAGTATTCTTAACTGCTGAGCCATCTCTCCAGTCCCCTTAGTATCAGTGCAACCTTAGTTTCTTCCGCATTTTCAGATTGTAATCAAGCTTTATTGAACCAATAGAAGTTGTTAGAAATGAGTCTCGTTTATTGCTTTAATATTTTCCTTCCTCAGCCCCAGTGCACAGGTGCACACGCACACACACACGCACACGCACGCACACACGCACACACTCTCTCTCTCTCTCTCTCTCCTCTCTTCTGTGTTCCTGTGATGCTTCACAGTGAGCCGGTAACTATAAGGTTTAACGTGTCCCTGGTGATTCTCTGCCCATTGCTCCTGCATGGCCTGATGATCGCTAGATTTTGTGTACATCTCCACACGGAATGTCATACACAAAGGCAGGGAGTGACTTTCCTAGCCATCAATGTTCTACTCACCTCTGGTTTGATGCTAATATTTTCTGTATACTGTAGTATAAAACTAATTTCACTAACTTTAATAAACTGTTTTTAGTAGAATTGTTTGATATGTTCAACCATGATGATAATTTAAGAGTCAGAATTTCTGTGAGTTTGAAAAAATAAAGTATTTATTAGAGCCAGGGAGTGGTGGCACACACCTTTAATCCCAGACCTGGGGAGGCAAAGGCAGGTGCATCTCTGTGAGTTCGAGGCTAGCCTGGTCTACAGTGTGAGTTCCAGGACAGGCTCCAAAGCTACAGAAAAACTGTCTTGGGAAACCAACCAACCAAACAAAAACCCCATTTATTAGATATTTGCTAGTTTTACCCTACTAAGTGCTAGATAACAAGAAAAGGAAATAAGTAACTTAATTTTGTAATCCTAATTTTTACAGAAATTTTCTCAAATTATATCAGTGTTATCTTGGAGTAGTAGTTAACAAATTGTACCCAAATAGTCTTTTTGTTGTTGTTGATTGAAATCACTGTTGTTGTGAATTGGTAAGGGTATCCTAAGTGTCAGGTAACAGACAGCTAAGTATATGAGCATTACAAGTGTCCAGCAGATGGGCTGCTTCCCCCCCCCACAGTCTAGGTTGCCAATTTCTCATCTTCATTACTCTAAATAATTAATAAGTCTAAGCACCTCAAAAGATATTTAATAGGGAAAGAAAGACACCATTTTATTAGAGTTGCTGTAAAAGTTGGCCAGAAGCAAGGGTGAGGCTATTTGTTATGCTTTTAGAAGCCATCTCTCAATATAGTATGAGTATAAACTTGACATTTGAACTCTTGACAAAAAGGCACACACTTAGTTTTCATTCAGGGTCTCTCCAGTTTTGGTAAGCATCACTCTTGGCCAAGATGCTCTGCAGAGCTGCCAGGTTTTCTATACTGTTCCAGTCTGGGCAGATGAGAAATAAAACCATTGGTACACACAAGCTGTACCAATGCTGTTTGAAGTAGAATCATCTGCCCTGTCCTTAACACATTACAATAAAAATATTAAGCCTGTGTGGACACTTGAAAGTTGCCAATAGTTAGATGCGCTTTTTGTTTCGGTAATTCATATACGTAGTCATTAAATGACTTAATGAGAGAGTTAAGTATGAAGAATCTGGACAGCATGCTCTGGAACTAACCTGTCCCACAACCCCATAAAACAACTGAGGTGCCCATTCTTGAGTTGTGCTTTTAGTGTTTCTATTGTTTTTTACTTGTTGTATAATAATTTTGCCAAACTCACTTTTTTCTTAGTCATTTCTTTCAGAACTTACCTAATACTTAAACTCTATTTGTTTCAGAGACGACCGCCAGACAATTCCTTTTATGTGCGAACATGTAACAAGAATCCAAAGAAAACAAAATGGTGGTATCATGGTGAGTAGTTTTTATCTGTAATGACAAATTTTTGATACTTATTTGAAAGATGATATTGTAAGACTTGGGGAAAATGGAGGATTAATTGAGGTAATGTTTTATAACACTACATCTTAGAATCTGGGAAAATATGGATATTGGACTAAATTTTTAAAACAAAATCATGTCTGTCATACAAGAAGTAAAATTAACATTACTTTAATAATTCCATGAAACCATTTTGGTACTAAAACGTGGTATCTTGTGGATTTTGTTTGTTGAACTTTTGAGGATTGAGATGATTTTGATTATGTAAGTCTGCCTGTCCTGAAACTAGCTATGTAGACCAGGCTGACCTTGAACTTGTAGTTATTCTCCTTGCCATTGTCACCTAAGTGCTGGGATTAAGGTGTGTGCAGCTGTGACAGACTAAAATATACAATGATCTTTATCTTTAGAGCTAGCTGTGGGGAACCCTTTATGTGAAGTAGAAGTACACTCAGTTTTGCTGCTCTCCATAATTGGAGGCAGTTACAGTAAGTTATATGTGCTCCATTAGGGCGGGCTTCTGTGGTCCCAACACCTGTCTTAGCCAGTACTCTGTTGCTGTGAAGAGACACCATGACCATGGCAACTCTGTGAAAGACAGCATGCTTAGTTTCAGAGGGTTAGCCCATCATCACCATGGTGGAATAGAGACAGGAGCTGCAACAGGGACTGAGGCTGCATCCTGCTCATAGGCACAGAGAACGACTCTGGGCTTGGCATGGGCTTTTGAACCCTCAGAGCCAAAGCCCACCTCCAATGACACACTTCTTCCAATAAGGCCACACCTCCTAATACTTTGAAATACCACCACTCCCTAGTGACCAAATCTGTGAGCCTATGGCTGGTCTCTTTCAACAACCCCCCCACACACACACACATAGTTGTTTTTTAAATATTGGAAGTTATTCCCATTTTGCTTTATGAAGAAAATATTCTTGATAATTTAAATTTTTGTTTTTCTGTTGTTATTGTTTTTTTTCCCCCTCTTTTGTGATTTCAAAATAGGACTTCTCTGTGTAGTCCTGTCTGTCCTGGAACTCACTGTGTAGACCAGGCTGGCCTCAAACTCACAGAGATCTGCTTGCCTTTACCTCTGGAGTACTGGGATTAAAGGCATGCACCACCACCACCTGCTATATATATAGTTTTAAAATGCAGAATTGCTGCTATCCTTCCTTCCTCCTTCCCTTCCCTTCCTTCCCTTCCCTTCCCTTCCCTTCCCTTCCCTTCCTTCCCTTCCCTTCCCTTCCCTTCCCTTCCTTCCTTCCCTTCCCTTCCTTCCTTCCCTTCCTTCCTTCCTTCCCTTTCCTTCCTTTCCTTCCTTCCTTCCTTCCCTTTCCCTCCTCCCCTCCCCTCCCCTCCCCTCCCCACCCTCCCCTCCCCTCCTCTCCCTCCCTTCCCCTCCTGGAACTTGCTCTGTAGACCAGGCTGGCCTCAAATTCACAGAGATCACTTGCCTCTGCCTCCTGAGTGTTGAGATTAAAGGCATGCGCCACCACCACTGCTTGGCTTGCTGGTATCATTTCTTAACTGCTATCCTAAGGACATAGTTTAAATTAAAAGCAAATGCTTACATTTCTAGTGGACTTCTTTTTCCTTTGGCTGGGAATGGATCCCCTAGTCTCATTCCTCCTAGACAGTTCTACTGCTGAGCTATATCCCCTTCTATATTTGTGAAGCAGGTGAATAAAAGTCACTCCTTGTGATATTTATATCCATAAAAGTATTTATTTTCCTGGCTTGGCTTTTAAAAATTTTTAAAATTTTATTAATCTAAAGAAATCAAGTTTGGCAAAACTCAATGAGAATATGGCCTTTTCTCCTTATTTGTTTTTTATTCAATGTGAAGTCTTCTGTGCTTTCACCTAAACTGTAAATTTAAAACTTTAATTTTCCAAGAGCTCGGCTAAGATGACCAGAGTAGATATAGTGGCTCTCTGCCCAGTGAAGGCAGGCTATCCCTGAGGGACATAGAAATATGGGCACCCAGGGTAATATATTGGAAAGGAAATAATTAGCACAGACCTAGAGGGACACTATGAAAGAATCCTTCATGAGAAATTAGATTTCATTTTTAGGGTATATTATTTACAAATTGCAGGTATAGTTAATGTGGTGGTTCATACTTGTTAGCAGGAGTTCAAGATCATCTTCAGATACATAACAGATGAAGCAACTTGAACTATATGAGACCCTGTGTCCAAACAACATCCCTGTAAAAGACAGACAAGAAATTATAGTAAAAATCTAGTAGAGTAATGAGATAGATATTATTTTAAAAAATTATAGGTGGTGCAGGTATGGTACATGACTGCAGTTTGCACATTGAGAAGGCAGAGGCAGAAGACAGGGAATTGCAGGTTAGCTCACTCTTGAGTGCTCAGCTCCTGTCCCAGAAAACACCCAAACTTAGGTATAGAAAAGAAGAACGAAGACAGATTCAGAACTCTAAAGGGTAGTACAGGGAAATTAATCTGATGTTAATGTAAGAATAGATCACTCAAGTAGGATTATAATTATTTAGGCCCTCATAAGATTTAAGAAGTGCATCATATTTCAGGAGGTGAAAGATTACTAGTAACTGGTCATCTTCGAAAATTGGTAAATATTTTAGAAAAGAAATTTAGAGTTTTATTTGATAAAATATTTCCTGCATATTAAGTACTTTAAAATTCTTCCTAAAAACATCATTAAGTAAGAAGGGAGGACTTTCTTAACTTAGAAGGCATGATAGACCCAGACTTGGCACATGCTTGTGATCCCCAGATCCACAAGTCCAAGTCAGGGGATGTGCTGAGCTTGAGGCAAGTCTTGGCTGAATAAGGTTCCGTCTCAAAATAAAAAAGAGGAAAAAATTATGAAGAAATGAAATAATTATCTCTGAAAATTAAAATAAGCCATTGACTGGGAATGTAGTTCATTGGTAGAGCCCCTAGCTGATTTGTGTGCAGTCCTGAGTCTGATTCTGAACCCACCCCCCAACCCTGACTCAGAAGAATTAATGACTTTAAATAACAGCACAGGTAAAAATGCACAGTACAGTATTACAAATTTAGGAGTTTGGAAACTCTTAATTCTGAACTAACAAGTTACACCATGAGTGTAATGCAGCCGGTAGTACAGCTTTCCCTGCTGCTGCTGTGCATGTCACATGATTGCAATTGTTTTCCTTTGTGGTGTTCTTTGTAAGATGTCACACATGTGCATAATGTGTTTTGTTCAAATCCATTCCCACTCCCTTCAGCTATTTCCCTCTTCCCCAATTTTCTCCTCCCAACTTTGTGCTGTCTTCTCCCTCATTGTTCTATTAAATCTACAGTGTCCACGCAGTGCTCAGGATGTGCAGAGTATAGGACCACCTACTAAAGCAGTGGTTCCCACCCTTCCTAATGCTGCTGCCCTTAGTATACTTCTTCATGTTGTGGTGATCCCAACCATAAAATTATTTTGTTGCTACTTCATAGCTGTAATTTTGCTACTGTTATGTAAATAACTATGTTTTCTCATGGTCTTAGGCAACCCCTGTGAAAAGGTTGCTTCACCCTCCAAGGGTCACAACCCACATGTTGAGAATTGCTGTACGAGAACATAGGTAGCCTTTCAGGGAGGGGCCATATCTCTTAAAAAACTGATGGTTCCTTACCAGGTAGGGATGAAACTCTTTCAACCCCCACTGGCACCCATGATGAGATTTTGGACTCACACAGGTCTTACACATGAAGTTACATACACTATGAGTTCATTTGTGCAACAGCGCTTTATCATTATTCTTTGTGTATGCCATGACTTGTATGTGGACGTCAGGTTTGCACAACAAGCACTTTTACCCACTGATCTGTTGTTTTCACTTATATGTAATTCTTTTTAAAGTTGCCTTGATTTGTTGACAGTGGTTCTTTTTATTTTTTAATGTTTTCTTTCCCTAAACGAAACATGAATGTCTGAATAATCTTTATGTACTCTTCTTTGAGAGAATTTACTGCATACACAAGTTTTATATGTGCTCAAGAAGGGGCAGTGTTGCAGTGTTTGCTGTTAATTGTGTCATCCCCCTAGGAAGCTGCATGGCATCTTGTTTGGAGTTTTCATTTATAAGAAGCTAAAACCTTTAACAGTAGTCTTTGGACCACAGTAGTCTTTCCTTTGTGCAGTTATAGGCATAAAACTAACAGCTCATGCTAGCATTATAGTTGAATTTGCATTGTCTTATCAGAGAGATAATCATATTCATTCTCAAAAAGTATACCCTGATAGCTTTGTTGGGACTTTTCAGATGTATGTTTATCTTTTGCCTACTTAGGTTCAATTCCAGAAGCTCTTCACTGATCCTGCTTTCAGGAAGTGTGCATCAGGGTCCTGCCCTTTGCCTGTCTCCCTTCCTCCCATCCTCCCTTTCTTCTCACTGTGTAGTCCTGCTGGCCTGGAGTTCATTGTGAAGGCTGGGGTGGCTGGAAACTTGTGGTAGTTCTCCTGCCTCCTGAGTACTAGGATTGCAGGTTTGTGCCACCATATCTGGTTCAAGAAATATAATTCTTGCTGATGGCACTTATTTTTCTCCTTATCTCTGAGATGGAGAGTTACTGTGTTTGTTTCTAATCTTGAATCCTGAGCTCAAGAAATTACCCCTCCTCACCTTCACTGCAGCTGTAGAGACGTACTGTCATGCTCTACAGACTCTTGTTATTTCTTAGTTGCCTTAGGGTTTCTATTGCTGTGATAAAATACCATGACCAAAAGCAGCTTGGGAAGGAAAGGACTTTACATCAGTTTTACACACAGGCCACAATCTGTCATGGAGGGAAATGAGGCTAGGAACTCAAGGCAAGAACTGAAGCAGAAGCCATAGAGGAATACCGCTTACTGGCTTGCTCCTCCCTACTTAGCTGCCTTCTTTTCCACATCTAGGACCACCTGTTCAGTGGTCAGTCATTAATCAAAGAAATCCCCACAAGCCAGTCTTATGGAGACACTTT